GGGCTGCGTTAATGTGTGTGTGCCCCAGGGAAGGTACAAAAAAGCCAGAGAACTGGCTGTGTCAGAAAGCAGGGAAGTGCTCGAGGAATGAGGGGCACGAGTCAAGGGCACAGAAGGTTAAAGAAGCGCCTACAGGCCAAATGTGGGGATTAAGCATAAAAATAAACACTGACAGTAACAGATAACCCACTGAATAAAGTAGGAAACCATAATGACACACATAATGCTATGGACTGAACTGTGCCCCACCCACAATGCTTATGCTGAAGACCTAGCCAGCAGTTGTGATGGTTATTTGGAAATGGGGCCCTTGGGTGATAATTAGGTTAGGATGAGGTCATGAGGGTGGAGCTCTCCTGGTGGAATTAGTGCCCTTACGAAAAAAGACATCAAAGGGCTTGCTTTCTACACACCCCCCTGCCCAACCCACTGCCATCTGAGGACACAGTGAGAGGAGAGAAGTCTACGAACCAGGAACAGGGCCCTCACCAGGGAACCAAACTGGCCAGCACCCTCGTCTTGGACCTCCCAGCCTCCAGAGCTGTGAGAAATAAATTCCCATTGTTTAAGTCATCCGGTCTATAGTAATTTGTCATGGAAGTCCAAGCTAATACATAAATAGAAATATGATGAGGAACAGGATATTTACATAGTCTCAAAGTACCTCTCCACAAAATATTTACTAACTACAAGGGAAAAAGAAATTTCACAGTGGAGAAGGCTGGAGGCACCAAATTAATCCAGTGCTAAAGTAAACATCACCAGTAACAGGGCAAATCAAAATCACAGCATCGATTCTACACAATTTCCGCCAATTTTTCTATAACTCTGAGAGTCTTTCAAAATAAAATGTAAAAAACCAAAACCAGTTTTTGTCCTCATCAAGTGAAATAACAATTATGAAACTGTTGTGTAAATTATAAAATCTTATTTATGTTTTTTTTTGCTACTTAATTAAAAAAAAAACCACCAAAAAAAACCCCCCCGTTTTTGTCTGCTTAAAAGGTACCTGGCCCTTGGAAATTACAAATATATTTATTATTCATGTTTTGCTGAACACACCTGGTGTTTATATCGCACTTGATAAATCATCTTACTCCTAAGTTGGTTTTCATTCACCCTAATAGCCTCATGAACTTGAATATCCTTTGAAGGTCATCTGACAACATCATTTCAAAGTGTTCTTCCATTTCTGTTTTCAATTCGTTTGACTCTGTCAGATTTGCTACTTCTTTTATCTTTAGATTATTATTTTTCAAAAAAATTTTTTTTTAATTCTCAGTAAGTCTCAAAAATTGTTTACTTTCAATTACTATGCCCCATGGTCTCTTTCCTCATCACCATTCCCAAAGCTTATTTTTAAAATGCATCTCACAATAAGCACAGCCTTAAATATAAGGGTGTGATAACATCTTAAAGAAATTTGAATTATGTGACTTTGAACTAATATTAAAATAGATGTAGAAGTATTGACAGATTGATAGATGGATGAACTTTGAAAACATGAGGCTAAGTTTAAGAAGCTACTCATAAAAGACCATTCACATGAGCATCCAGAATAGGGGCATCTACAGAAACAAGATTAGTGATTGTTTAGGGCTGGAAGGAAGGGGACTATGGGTGATAGCTAAAGGATACAGGGTTGCTTCCTGAGGTGAGGAAATGTTCTAAAACTGAGTGTGGTGGTGGTTGCACATATCTGTGGATATACTACAAACCACTGAATCGTGTATTTTAAATGGGTAATTTATACAGTATGTAAACTATATCTCAACAAAGCTGTTAAAAAATATAAAACCAAATTAGAAACACGTGTATTAAGTTTCATTTGATGTGCAAAATTTGAAATAATTTGAATCTACCTCCCCAATTAAAAATTTGATAAGAGTTGTATAACTTCAAAGCCAAGTAAATCATAAACAAGCTACATTACTGCCACACGTGATACCACTTTAGATGATAAAAAGGCATCCCTGTCAGCATTAGGTTCACTATGGTGGTGAACAGACACCCTCTGTCAGGGGGATTTGGGGATTATGTGATTTCCATTACTCAGAATGTCGGGAACACAGCCCTCCGATAAAAGTGTTTCAAATAATTACAGTTGGTGATCTCCCTCCTCTTTAAGTGACTTTTGCACCTCTGGGTTCTCAAACATCTTTCATTTTGAAATGTGAACTAGTTATTACCAGTCCTTCTGTCGTGTGTAATATTTTTACCCAAATTTTACTGCCTGTCTCTCTGTATCTAGGTCTATTAGCATGAATATGTCCCTAAACTGACTTGAAAAGACTGTTGGTATAAAAAGGGGAAAAACTGTCTGTTTGATCATTTTTCCATTCAGTTTAGGAAAAAGTAGATTAGGGAAGTATTTATAACAGAAAAATAGAGGCATAAAAATGACATCACTAATTTGAAAAAAAAAAAAAAAGAAATTCAAGAATTAAATTCTCCAGAAAAGGCATCAAAGATGAGAAAGGGCTGGGAATTGCTAGGGCGGGTATCAGGGACAGTGGGAAGCATGTGAACTGGAGCAATCAAGGCCCCATGTCCCCACCCCAAGGAAGCTGTTCAGCCCAAGGCTCCATGTCCTTAGCTGTAAAACCAGAGGCTAGACTACAGGGCCTGGGTCCCTCCCAGCGCTACAAATCTTTCATTCTAAACTCCAAGATCTCTTACCTTCTTCTTTAAAATGACTCTTTGTGTCTTCGGGGAGACATCCAAGACGAGCTCTGCACAGGTAATGGCCTTGTTGGAAGCCACAGGCCTTCCTGTCCCCTTCTGCAAACTAGAAAAAAAAAAAATTATATATGTGTATATATACATTATCACACGTATACGCATGCATGTGCCTATACTCGCACAAGTATTCAAGTACTCACAAGCAAATGCCTAAATCCTCCACTATAAAAACGAGAATTTTTTTTTTAATTGTAGGAGATAAAGTCTGACGCAACTTGCAGAAAGATCAAGGTTGTGTTGTCTTCCTATATAGCTCAAAGGTTCATTTGTCAGAAGATATGCTCTGACATTTCTCCTCTCCTGATAATTTTAAGTGGCTTAAAATTCAGATATAAAAGGATGGCTATATATCTTTAGAGGCCAAAAAACAGCAGCAAAAAGCTAAGCCAGGCATTTCAAGGGTCCAAGAATTAGCTCTACTCTTTGCCAGTCAGAAGATCAGTGTCCCTGCGTCCCCAAGTCTTTGAAATCAGAAGCCCCTTTAGGATGAAAAGAATACAAAGGGTTGATAATCACCTTCCTCCAATTCAATGGTGGTGTGCTTCTCTGTGGCTTAAGAGCCCTAAATTTTATGGAATATTGCAGCCTACACTTCGGAGTACTTCAATGAGATTTTATTTAGATTATTCTCCTGTTTCTAAAAAGGGGATTGATAAATTCAGAGTTAAAAACTAGTTTTCATGAAAAAAAATTAGTTTTCCGACACCACAAGCACAAGTGACAAAAAAATAAATAAAAATAGATAAATTACATTTCAACAAAATTAAAAACTTTTGTCCTTCAAAGGACACCATCAAGAAAGAAAAATGAGGGGGCTGGCCGAGTGGCTCAGTTGGTTAAGAGCTCGCTCAAGAGTTTGAGCTCTGAGCAACAGCGGTTCGAGTCCAGCCCGAGCTGAGCAGCCGNAAAAAAAAAAAAAGCCCATCACTCAGGCAACCAACCATTCCTAGTACATTTCTTACACATCACCTTTAAGAACATTCTCCCATGTAAATACACAAATGCACAACCGAAGTTTCTTGACTTTCCTGATTAAAATGAGATAATGCATGCTTGCTGTGTAATTAGTTTTTCCCATTTAACAACATATCCTGCATATCATAATTGAGACTTTTCTTTCAAAGAAGCCTCAACCACCTCTTGCTGCTACTGAGGCTGCCGCAACTTACGGACCTGAACAACCAGCCCATGTAACCCGCAGGTCAGCTTTCCTTCTCGGAAACTCCACGTCTGGGTTGTGCTTCGTCTGCGATCAGGCTTTCTTAGCATCAGTGGCTCATATCTGGGATAAAGGAAAATGCAATGAGTCCTTTGCGTCACCTATTTCAGGCCGGAAGAGAATACCAGAAACACGGTTTTACTCTCCTTCCTTCCAATATCCTCTACTCTTAATCTAATGGGCAGTTAGTATGAATCCTATGGCAACTAGGTATCTCTTAATGAGGAAAGGAGAATAAAACGAAATGGAAAGCAACAAAACGGGGGACACAAAGTAATAGTAACACTTTAAGGATTCATTTTATATATTCTCATACATAATATTCATTATATATAAAATAATATAGCTTCTTGCATGTTCACAATGACTAGCTGGCATGCAGTATGAGAACGGCTGCCTGCTAAATGTATTTTAAAATACTTTCAGCAGCTTTTGTTCTGTTTTATTTCCAAATACATGTATTTTATATTGGGTTTTAATTTGTTTGTAAGTCATCGAAAATCATTTTGTTAGTAAATAAGGTATTAACTGGAAACAAATACACTGATTTCGTGGAGAAACTAAGGCAAATAAAATAATTTATTCAAAGTGAAAGAGCTGATTTGAACCATGGAGTCAGCCATATAAAAACATATTATTCTCTAAATCATTTATTTCTGCTTTTGAAAGGTTTAACAAAATTCTTAAAAAGATTTAAAACAAGAAATTGTTCACATCTAGGGAGTAATGGTGGATGGAAGTTTGGGTTAAACATTCAAGTTTTATAACATATCCTTCTTATTGTTTGAATTTTTAAAAGATCTCCAAGGTCATTTCCATAATAGATTTAAAATAAATAAATCTAAAGGAAGGAAGGACGAAAGGAAGGAAAGAAGGAAGACAGACTGACCCAGTGCTCATATTTGGGAATGTGACAAGTTTCTGTCACTGAAGAAAAATACACACATAGAAATACAAACTCTTACTTCATTTACAGACTCTCGCTTTTCGGTACAGATCTCCTCTGAGTCTGAATCTGAAAGCAATGAACTTGACTCAAAAGGTGCCCAGAAAACGTACCTGTTGTCGGTCACTGCGGCAAGACCAGCTATGTCCAATATGGCCGCCGCCTCGGCGGAGCGGGCCGCCGAGGGCTTATTGGGGTTGTGGGGCACAGAAGAGCCCTCGTGGGCCAGCATGCCCGTCCCGGTCATCCTCCACAGCTGAGAGCGCTTCCCTGGTTCCTGCGGGGTGGACACACAAAAAGCCATCATGTGCAGCCACAGCTTCATACAAGGGCTGAATCAGTTCTCACGTAGGAACTGCACGGAAGATATTTTCCACGTTATGTAAATTCTTAATTCAAAGTTTCATTGTTGTTAATCCCTCGTTACACTCAGGATGAAATATGCTAAACTCTTGAACCAAACTCAAAATTACAAATGTCAATTTAAAACATTTATTCTTGTCATATACTTAATATTTTCTGGACAAACTCGTCAGCTGAAGTTCAGTCCAATCACTGTCACCAGCTCTGTTGCTATGATAACCGCTGCTGCAGATGCTGACCCTTAGGTGCCCTTACCTGAAAGAGTCGTTCAATTATATAAAGTGTATGTGTATTCTTAATTGGTCACCCTCATAGCTGGCCGACAACCAGAATTTACCAGCAGTCTTCTCCCCTCCCATGTTTATAATCTTTGATTGAGGTTTCCAATTTACAAGTTGATTGTTTTCAAATATTGACTGTATTTAAAGTTTATACTACGTTGATTGCTGTTAATTCTAAATTTTTTTCTCCTTAGGAATATTTTATAGACAGCACTTGAATTTCCAGGTCAATAATAATCATCATTATAATAATACTTATTGATAATTTACTATGTGCCAGACACTGATCCATGGGGTTTACATGTAGGTAATTCACTCAATCTTCAAAACAATCCGATGAGGTATATACTATTAATGATTCTTACTTACAAATGAGGAAGTTAAGGCTCTATGAGATGACGAAATCTCCCCGTGTCACATAACTAGCAGGTGGCGGAGAGAAGATTTGAGTCTGAGCCTGATGCCAGAGCCAACATGCTTAAGCCCTCTGCAGCACTGCCTTTCTAGCATAACCCACGTAGTTCCATTTCAGTAACACCTAACCTTAGAGTACTCTCTCTATGGGAACACACACTCCAGCCAGACCTGTCAGGCTCACTCTCACCAGATGGGAGCCCCTCCACAGCAAGACACTTCTGGGTACCACAAACTCATCCACATGCTGCCCCTGCGCTGGAAAGATAACTTCTGCATTACATTCTACAAAGTAAAAACTAACAAAGTAATATGAGTGCTAAACCAAATGCCGGGATTTGAAACCCAGCTGTGCCATTTACCAGCTGAGTGACCTTGGACGAGTCACTACATCTCTCAATCTCTATTTCAGAAACTAAGCCACCTCTTAGGGGTCTTGTGCTAAGTGTAATAAATACAAGGCCCTTAGCGCATGCCTGGCACAGGGTCTGGCCTCGCTAAATGCTCACTATGTTATTATGATTCCATCTCTTTTCATAGCACTGTATGTGTATTATCTTAGTGGATCCTTCTCACAAACCTGAGAAAAGCAGGAATATGAGGCTCAGTGAGGAATGTGAAATACCAGATATCATGTATCTTTAAGTGACAAAGCCGGAACTCAAACCTAGAAAGATCTGATGCTCTTTCTGCTGGGTGCTACTGCCTCTTACGTCTGTAAGATTTGAAGCTGAGCTGCCTTCTCCATCGACAACCCCCACGTGCTTACTTGCATTTGCGGGAAGAGAACACATCTCTCCGCAGAACCAAAC